TACTTGCGCCTTCCACCTTTTCGCTCGTAACCAGTGCCGTCCAACCAGTCAGTGGTAAGCCGATAGAGCTCAAATTCAATCAGTTGCCTATCGACTGAGTTGATGTATTGAAGTTGCAAAACATTTTTAGCTATTGGATAAATCACAGCAATGGCTCTCAAATATTCTTAGAGTACTTTGGCACTATGTACTGCTAACCCATCCGTTTCCGCTTGAGTGCTGAAACATAAAATTCTATTCGGTACACGCTTTCCAGGGCCTGACGAGCGCCGCTACACCCACTGGAAACAAACCGTTTTTTACCTGGATAGCGGCGAAGATGAATGCTTGACGGTGAAGAAGGGCGAACAAATCAACGGCGCGATGTCGGTTAGACCCAATGCGGTTAATAATGTGAGTGTTTTCTACATTGTATTCTATTTTATCCGATTTCTGTTTGTCGGCTCCAGCATAAGATATAGCAGTCCTAGGTGCCATTCTTTGCACAGGGTCACATGTACGATACGATTCACAAATCTCGAACGATACGGATTTTAATGTCTCGAAGGGACTCAGATAGGGTGTACCTAAACGCAAGTGGTTAAGCGAAAAACAGCTAAAAAGGGAGGAAGCCTTCGATTCGTGTAACACACTAACTGTTTACTTGTCAGTCAATGCTCTCGTGTCATTCATATTTCGCGGCAATTATGACATATCACCGCATTGTCTATTATACTTCTCTTTCTATCGCCTTCCAGCGTGATTTGGACATCTCCATCAACGTCATTTTTGAAGGCGAACTGACCTCCATGAATTCAGTGTTCAATTACCGCATGCGTTGATCGCACACGCAGTGCACGATCTTTCCCGGACTTCCATTGCTAGGTCGTATTCCGTGATCGATCCCTACTTCCTGACTGCATACTCCTCACTTTATGCAGAAGACATCAGTGACATTGATTTGCATTTATTGCATCTTGGGATGTTTGTCCGCGCGCGCCGTTTTGTACTTTCTGCTACCCTCCACTATGCCAATCGCATTCACGTTCCCCTCCCCCTATCAATTCCATTTTTGTTGCAAATGGTGCTGCTTCACATCTGACTTAACGGACATATGAGTGCGATGACGTACAACTGTAGTGGAGAAATCCACGAAAATCCTCATTTTAGCTTCTACATCGACGTCCTCGATGTCGGCACTGCGTTTCACTATTCAAGCTGGTACACTTCTAGTTTATAGGTTTCCTTGACGAAATTGGCGACCACACGTGGGTTCCGTGTGGCAAAAGTCGACTAGCAACAACTAAGGGACGTGTTGGGTCACTGGTTTCGTTACCCAAAATGCGTCAGTTGATTGCATGTTACTGCTTCACAGTTCCCACAAATCTGCGGATAAGACAAAAACCGTTTTGCACGAAAGAGTCGTTTATTGTCATAGACATTCGAACTTCCGAAGGATCTCCGGTTTGTTGAACCCACGTCTATTTCTTGCTATTTCTATAGCGAGGAACTGTACACGAGGCACTGAAAGGAAAGGTGATAAGCACGATCCTAAACTGCGTACCAATACAAGTGTTTTGCTCACTGTATCCTTTCGAAGCGTCCAATCGAAAAAGTGTAGCAAAATTGTAGTCTTCTAACTGGCTCGAAAACTTGCCGCAAAATTCTCGCCACACCTGAAATAAAAAAGTTGTTACTTATGAGTAGGAGGGTTTTTGTCGAAATAAATGGTCGAAACATTGGCTAACATAGCTACTGTGTAGCGAAAAGAGGTCAGTCAATGTTTTCTGCAGTGGAGGATAGGTTGCGCTGTATCCCAGTTAGCTTGCAATTGAAAACGATTTGCTTCCGCCCCTATCACTCAGAGACAAGCTACCAGCGGAATGGGTTCGTTCAAGGGTGCACTTCCGGTTTGGTGATAGACTACCTGCCTTATCGGGTACTCGTTACGCGAATCCGGGATCACCTGCACATGTCTAAACACCGAAGTGCGGTGGATCTGGTTGCCAAGACTCACGTCGTGAGAATAACCATGAACAATGAAAACGGAAATTCAAATGCAATTAGAATACAAAGATAATGGAATCAAGAAGCACGCTAAACTAACCGGGATAGAATGAAAATTAACAGCTAATTCAAGCAACCTAACGCGAGAGAACTATGTCATATAGTTTCCAACTACCGGTGAGAGGTATGTATGAATCGTGCGCACGTAACTAACAAGGATGGCCAGCAGTTGGGCCACGCGGTTTTCGAAATAGCCTGAACTAACACGGCGGGCTTAACCGTTCACTCTGCTCAAGTGGCATTTGCGCAAACGACGCTATCAAACTGACACTACTTCATGGCGTACGAAAGGTACGTACTTTTTTGGATTCCTCGGACTTCAACTTAGCTTCACAAATCAGATCAACGTCGAGCTCCGGAAAGTGACTGCAGAATTCATCGTAGATTGCATCATCCATCTTCGTCAAGCGTAGAGTAGATGGGTCACGGACGGAACACACGAGGTTCAAATGAGCTTTCGCATGCTCAATGGATCGAATGGCCCACTGAGATTCGATGTTTGGCTAGATAAGGTTTTAAACAAGATGGTAATAACAGTAGGGTAGTAATAGTGTGATAGAACGTCTTTGGGACAAAAAATGTGTATCCAAACATGGGGCTAGTCACAACAGACGCAAAACAACGACCAAGCTGGTTGTGGTACGGTCGATTACTAGTTAACGGGGTCTTCGAAAGCGTCACACGGTGCGGATCTTGCTTCTGACGATGCGTTATTTGCGACCACCAGAGCGCCGGTCATTTGCTCGCATACGCAACAGAGAGAAAGGATCAATAAGTCCATCAACATCTTAGAGCATGTCCGTGCGTTGCAAGCTTTTTCGCCCAGCTACGTTCGAGGCGCGCGGAAAAAACATTAAAGTAATTTTGACTTGAGTACCTTTCTACTGCAACAAGATGGAAGTGTCCCCACCATGACCCACAGGGTCACAATGGTAGGCGCTTTGTAGATGTTTTCGGGTTGACAGTTAATGGTCCGAGATACAGTCGCAGCGTCCGCATAGAAGACAGGGAGGAGCGGTTCTCTTCTCCTTTAATCATAAACAGTGCTCGCTGTCCTAAAGGACAAAAATGATCGGTTATTAGAAATGGAGTTCGTACTCAATGAGCAATATCCGTGCACGTCTACTGGTTGCTCAATTGGCGGAGAGTGAGGTAGTGTGAAATCACAACTGCTGCCTCAAGCCGCGCGATCCCAACTGCCATTACTGGGTTATCATATGACGGCAAAATACTAGGTTTACATCCCTAATGATTTGTATACGCAGTTTCAAACAGATCCCAGCAAGGCTGGGATGACGTTCCGGGATGAGAGAGATCACAACGGGTAAATGACTGGAGGCGCTTAAGATATTCAGAACAACGGGTTCGAGCCTCAATACCGTATGGGAGAGCGGCCCATACCCTGCCAGAGCGCCAACACATCAACATCAATACACGTCAGCTGATGGTGGGAAACAACTTATCTAATGTGCCACAATACGAAAAAGGCCAGATATTAACCCATCTTCTACTGGCGTATCTATTAAGTACACTTCCGAAATGTGATTTGAGGCATCGAATCATTCTATTAATTTTAATTCCATTGGTTGCACTTTCAGATATCACACTTAAGCAAAAGTATCTTATTCAGTACATTTTTGAGAAAAGGAATTTCTTTCCTCGTATGATGACTAATGGGGAATCAAATGAAAGTGCCAGAAAGGTCAGGGTGCTTTAAGTATTTATCCAATTAGAAATACCAAATATCTGCCATTTTTTCTGTTAAGCGGTACATATGGTTGCCGGCATCCGGTTCTGGATTTGCCTGTTCTGCGGTCTCCATGGCGACAGTCAGGACGCCTGCGCCTACAGAGGACCCATTGGTGGCATACGCTGCACCATCCACACAAACCATTTCCGGTGTTAACAAGAAGGGACAAGAACGTGAGGCATGCGGATGGGAGCCACCTTTCATCAACGGAGACGGCCCATTCTCCTTCAACATGCATAGCAGCAGTATTCTTGTTCATCTAAGTTGAGAATCATGCGTAGCGGACGTACACAAAGCGATGACTGGGCCGTAGTCCGCTCCACAAAATGGTTGCATGGAACCACTTTGAAGCTAGCACGGCCATGAGGACCGTGCACCCCGTCCCCCCAGCAACGATTAAGTCTCCTGGGACCAGCGATCGAGGTGGAGGGTGTCAGACAGGTAGCCTTTTTGTCAATATGCACATCAAGCGCAGCCACACCGAGGGTGTCAAACAGCCAACACATAATCCGAAGGAAAATAAATGCCACTGAAAATGGTTACTGTAAACGGCTAAGCGATTGGAGGTTTTCATTCATGCGTACCCACCAGACTCAGACCGATTGGGTCGGAACTGGAAATATACTCAATAATATGCGTTCCCAGCCCGGGTCCTTATCAACAACCTAATTCGCTCAAAAGCCTCGGCGAAATCACTTCAGTTGACACATGCACGCTCGCCTAATGGGAATGAGGACATGGATGGAGTGAACCTTTATATTGCAATGCACCATCTCTCTAAACGTCGTGCTAATACTGGGAAGTAGGTCGAGAGAGAGACATGTACTCTGCAAAACAATGTCAAGGAGCAGAATCTAACCAGAAAATGAGAGGCAGCCTCGCCTAGTCTGGTAAGCAGTATCATGGAGCCTACATAGTGATGTGAATCACAAACGTCGTCTCGGCATGTCACCGTACTGGAATCAACTTGTGTAATAGGCTGGATTTCACCGTGGTGCGATGGTCCGCGTGCCTTAGAGATTCATTGAGCTATGCTGGGTGGCGCTTTTGCACCTTCAGAGCCACTCATACCAGATTGCTCAATGGTAAAAGGCCAGTCAAACTCAGCCCCTAGGTCCTCCAGTTTGGTGGTTGGAGGGTGGCTGTTCATTCCTTAAAACGGACTCCTTGTTGCTCACTGTCAAAATCGCTGCCTTGCGGTAAGGTTTTTAACCTAAAGACTTTGATTGAGAACCCCAATAGTTCTCCTGTCTACGTCTGGGAAATCTGACAGTATCCGGCCCACGCCATACTATGAATCACTCCTTAAACACTTTATTTATGCCCTAGCCGTCGCAGAGGAAATTAAACGGCGTCCTATCTGCTATATCAAGCAGGGTAGATAGGGGTTTCGATGCTATTGCTCAAGGCTTCCCGCTTTTTCACCATTGTCCTGTTTCATATTTAGTCTTGTCCCTCCCCCTCGTTTTAAACTCTTCAATTCTTGGCCCACCGCCGCCTTGCTTTGATAGGCGTTTAGCTACTAGTTTCAACTAGTAAGCAAACGCGGAACTTCACTCCCGACCTGTCAACAAGCCCATGTCTAACCAAGCAGTCAAACCCAGTCTATCGGCTTCCATTTGGAGCCCTCGATCCTCCCTCAAATTGGTATGACTTAGTGTACGCACATTGTTACAGATCAGACAACAGGCAGCACCTGCTCGAAGATCTGAGACCCTATCGATCGACATCTGCTGCTTTTCGGAAACGCGCCTCCAAGACTCGAGCTCTGCGATCCACTTCAGGTGACACTAGCGGTGCTTTCTCGTTGCGTCTATCCGGAGACGATACAGCTTGGAGTATTGGCCAAGCTGGTGTTAGTATTACCCTGAGTCCCCTGGCTGAAGCTGCTCTGGTTGATTGGATCCCAATCAGTAGCCGGATGTATGCGGTCAGATAGGTTGGCCCGTTCAAAGCTTTGAAGTCGCGCGGGACTGATAGGTATCTATTCGTCATCACTATCTACGCACCCACAAATTAATAATGACTCAATAAAAGACGACTTCTATCGTCAACTGAACGAGCCACTTCGCCACAGAAGATCGGACACTGTTGTGCTGGCTGGGGATCTGAACGCTCAAGTTGGAAAATTATCCACTGATGAACTGCATCTGGGCGGCTGACATGGTGTAGGCTCCCGTAATGATAACGGTGAGTGGTTAATCCATTTGTGTGAAGATGCTCGCTTGTCTCTTGCAAGCACTAACTTTCGACACAGAACTAGCCTATCAGCCATGGACGCAAATCAATCCCACTGCGATCAGTTTCCGCTGGAGAGGCCTCGTTCAAAACTGTTGCTAGATTTGGAGCACGTGTGCGGACACTATATACTTGTATGTGGTGAACTGCGGGTGCGTTTCGGCGGACGCTCTCGACGAACCTATGAGCGCATAGACACCAGTAAACTGACGAAGCCACATGTTCCGAATGCGTATCGAAGTACGGTGGCGTTCGGGTTGAGTAACCGCTCGCATGCTCATTCAGATCTGACTAGCAACATGCGAATCCACACGTGGTAAACCTAGTAGCTAACATGGGCAATGGATCTCTTCGCAATCTCTGGAACTTATCGATGCTCACCGGCACATTCCGGCTGGAAGCGAAGACAACGAGATTCGCAAAAACCTCAGGGCAAAACTCCGTGCTAGTCTTAAGAAAGACAGCGAGTTCTGGTAGTCTCGTTGTTCGTCAGCAAAGGAAGTGGCAATCATCGGGTTATTCCGTCTGATACGGAAAACGGGCAGCAGAAGACCTGGTGTTGGTGAAACTATATGTGACGAGAGTGAACAGTCTATCCACAAGTAGTCAAAACGCTTGGAGCGTTTGGCTGAGCAACTTGAAAGGTAGATTAATCGGCCGCAATAGTCTGATTTCTCAGCGGTCAGTGATCGCTTTGCTTCCTGAGTAGCTCTTTGGATCCGCCCTCTCGCTCGGAAGTCGAACATGGGATCGGACTGCTGAATTTGAATAAGGCAGCGGGATCATGTGACATTTATCCAGCTCTCTAAAAATTCAAGGGACCTAGTCTTGTTGATGAGTTACACAAGATGCCAGTGAAACTGTGAGAGAAGGAAACTGCCCCAAGCAATTGGAGCCGCTTCGTTATTGTCTCCATCTTCAAGGGAGGCTCATTTTCGGAATGCGGCAACCATAGAAGAATCATGCTGATCCCAAGTACCTCTAAATTGCTTGTGTCTGTCCTACTGAACAGACTGGCTCGTACCCGTGGAAGCCTGATTCGCGAAGAGCAGGTCGTGTTTCGTCGAAATCGAGGCTGCATTGACCACAAATTAAAGTCAGTTATTGGAACATCGACATATTTATTAGTGACCCACCCTAGTCGTGCTCCTCGACATCAAATATGTCGTTGATTCTGTGGATGTATATTTTAAGACAGTCTACTCAGGAGCGCTGCACGCGCATAGTTCGGACACAGTGAAGGATTATGGCGAAATGTCTCCGCCATTTAATGTCTCCAGGGATGCCCGCTGTAAGTTTCCTCTTCAACTTCGCTATTGGCAAAGTCATGAACATCGTGTTCACTGGATACGACTTAGAAGACGTCGAGCTACTCTCATGTGAACGACTTTCTGACTTGGAGTATGCTGACAATATTACCCTCATCTGTGGCAGCTCACAAACGTGCCAATCTGCACTGGATAGATTAGCTGTCAGCCATTTCTCGCTTTGTAATGCACCCACGAGGCGCTTTTGTTAATCTTCGCCACCTATGGTGACGGCGCGACATAACCCTCCTGGCCTATTAAATCGGCAGACGTAAGTAGGCTAGTTACATTCGACGACCGCTGCCTTTGCAGTTTCGCTCATATCTGGTGGGAACACCGTGTGAGCAATGAGACGTGTTCAATGCCTTGTTTATGGTACAGGAAAAAATGAATCGCTCAGCACCATTATTCCGCGCACCAGGCTCCGATAGCTGGGCCACGCGTATTCAAGCACATCTACTCCCGCGACATACATTATTTTTCGCGACCTGTGTGTGGATTAAAGAAGCGGAGCCTACGCGATGACTTGGTCAAGAGGAATGAAGTTGGCCTCAGTTGGAGCCTTTCGACACCCTGATTGGGGTCCGAGAGATGATGAACATGTTTGGCTGGATATCCTTGTTGACATCGCAAGGAGCCGACCTCGATGGTGTTTGTGCTGCGAATTTCTTTCTCTCACTCTGTATGGAAAGTGTTATTTGAAGGTAAAACCTCAAAGATAGCGCGTCAAATTTTCAGTTTACCGTCAAGGAGGAGGGAACCGGAGGTGAGCTCCCATACGCAATTCGACCCCAATAGCTAAATTTGTTCTCCGTGGAGTTTTGCCGTCAACGAGGTGACCTCATCTACAGTAGACGCGTGCTCCGAGGAAAACTCAAATGAGTTACAACAGTTCTTCCGACCCAACGCCCACTGTTCCACACTCGTTCACACATGGAAGCTGTTTAAACCAAGAAGACACGGAAATTAAACGGATGTTATCCACCAGAGTGGTGAATGGCTGGAACGACCTGCCGGAGGAAATTGTGGACGTGCCAACAGAAGAAAGTCCTAAGCGGCTGTCAGACAAACCACTCAATGAGATTCCTGGGATCTAGCTGCCGTTGTAGTGACTTGAAGATTCCCCAGTTGACTGTGTATAATATTCTAGAAATTATAGTCCTCTTGTGTAATAAGAAATTAGGCGATCTGCTTGTTTGGATGTTGCTCACGTTTAGTTGAAACACATACACGCATCCATTGCACCTGCTACTGGCCGCCATCGCACTCAGCACCCGTCCACATGTTCCCTAGCTAGCTTTCTTCTGGTGACCTATTTTTAGCTTTAGCCAGTTTATCGACATAGCAAAACATTTTTCTAGTCTATTTTTGTGTTTTCTCCCGCTCACAATCGGTTGGCTGTTTATCTGCGCACCTGAATATATAGCGCACGACCGACGCGCCATACCATCACCGAAACTGCGACCAACGCTTGAGGAACGTCGTAACGCAACGATATGCAACAAGTTCCCCTACCGGCACAACAGTTCCTCGAAAGTCCGATGAGAGCTCGCTAATAGTCTGCTGAGGTCCGAAATGTCCCATTAAAACATGATTCGGACTGTTAAAGGATTGCGGAAAAATTTTTGCAGCGCACGTATTTCTCCCCATGTTGGGAACGGATAATAGGAAATATAGAGCAAAGCACATTGCCCGCAAGTTCTTGGAAATTTACAGAGATGTGTGTGCTGATTCATTTTACGGAAAATCTACATATTCGTCTCAGAAACGAGTCATTCCCCCGGAAGGAGGTCCACACCATCACGTTCGGCTGTGCGTTGAATCCAATGTTTGATATTGCAATAAACAGGTCACGAATTCTCAAGGGTTCTCAGATAGTCCGCTTCGGACTGTCAGCGGACATCTGACAATCCGACAACGCATGGAGGTGATTTCATGGCATCCAAAGCAAACTATCGCACTCATTAATTCCTCCTTGAAGATAATACGTTATATCCTATAAGAAGAAAAAAAGGTATTGCACTAAACCGGTTAAAAATTATCGAAGTCCGCTGTCAGTCCGAGGCAGAAGTCAGCCGACTTCTGACAGTCCAACTGTGTTGGCACGGACAAGTTCAGATGGGGTTGGAATGTTAAATAATCCCGGGAGACGATGAAACTGATAAGGGTTTTACCTCCTGCGCTCTACAAGTCAATGAACACCCTGAAAAAGGTCGCAGTCGCAAACAGGATGCTGGGTGACCTACGTAGTTCGTTTTCCCGTATCACTCCGGCTATTTTCAGAATTCTGTTCACATCACATATTCGCCAGATATTGGAGTATGGGCTTTCAGTTACCTATCCTCCCCTGGAAACTTAATGCGACTTACTAGAAAGGGTTCAGAGGCTTGGCTCGAAGTCTGTCAGGATTCAAGATCTTGCTTACCCTCTTCGATTACCGTCGGCGCCGTGGAGATCTTAAATACACACGACGGATCCTAAGAGGTGAATCTGAGAGTGAGGTACAAAAACACTTTCGGCTCAACGTGGACATCTCGACAAGAAGTTGTACAAGAGCCGAATGCTTCACGTCCATCCAGTGGCTGCGCTAGCAATTCGTGTAGTGGATGATTAGAATAGCCTACCGCAGATCACTTCTGATGCATCGACAGAGGGAAGTTTCAAACGGCTACTTGACTGCGATCTGATGAGTATGGCAGAGTTCTTCTGCTCCTCCTGCAGCGGTGACGATCCCCAGAGGAATGTCACTTTGCAACCAGTTGCGTCAAACCTCCAATGAATCGGAATCGACGAAGCTGACAAGGGTCTCCCCTCCTGCTCCCTACACACCAATGAACTAATTAATGAACTTGAGTCCATTATCATTATTATTTTCCATTATAATGAACGCTATAGGATAGGACAGGACAGAATCCAGGGACGAAACAAGCTTCCGCTTAACGAGCGTCCCGTTTCGTGTGCCGGTAAGCGAAAAAGGGCCTTCAGCACTGCGAGTTGTTATAATGTTTTTGATTCTATAATAGAGGAAAACAGAAATAAGTGCAAGACGGCCAACACATTTTCAGGAAGTCATGAGATTATTGGCAGTCACCAAATCACAAGTTCTGGGAACAGGGCCAGCCAATGTTTGTCTAGGCTACGTTTAAATTCCTCCACAGTTTCGCATGGTGATAGAGCAGAAGGAATTCTTATTCCAAACAGACACAACGCGGTTTGCAAAGAACCTGGTTCTTAACTCCAGCCTAGATCTATGCTGCTTCAATTTCATACAATGGTCCCGCAAGTTGACGTAGCTGGTTCAAAGAGATCGGTGGGCGTGAGACCACTGAGTCCTTTCATGATTTTGAACGTCTATTAAGTCACCTCTCAATCTACCTCTTCTCATTGAGAACAAACCCAAGTTAGCTAACCGATGTTCATACGATAGCCCACGCTGACTTTTTATCGTTCGAGTGGCTAGTCTTTGCGCATTCTCAATACAAGTAATACCTTTCTGCAGATATAGTGCCCAGGCCTGAACACAGTATTCCAGATGTGGTCTGACCACAGCTTTGAACAAAGAGAGAAAGACCTCTGACTTGGTTCAACTCAGAACTCTCCTGAGAAGAAATAACTCCTGTCGGCGAGGGCATAGTCATTCGTTACGAGGACACCTAGATCGCGTGCCTCGGTGACATGCTGCAATGTTAGGGACCCATTAGTTGTGTGTACAGTAAACTCATCATCACGCGGGGTTAGAACTTGACATTTGCTGGTGTTCAGTGTGTGGTCAATTAAGAACAGTAGCAAAATCTCTAGATAACGAAGCCGTATCCCCTGCTGACAAGCTTCAAGTCGTCAGCAAACATGTAGGAGGGGTCTTCAAGTAGGGGAACCAAGTCATTAACATGAGAAATAGCAACGTTTAACGTGTCATTCACATTTAGTTATCGGCAAATCGGTGACAACGACAAGTGTGAAAGTCAAGAAATACTATGAAAAGCTTACGTCATTTTGGTACGTTGAACCCCCAACTTCCATTGTAATATTCGTCCGGGTCGGTGGTTCCAGGTAGTTCGGTAACCGACACGTAGAGTAGGTCGCGATGGACTCGATGACCTGCAATGGAAAACAAAGGGAACATAGGTGGCCGGAAATTAAACCCAACCAACTAGTAAGAACGAATATCGACGTGTCGAGTGCCTGCTGACAAGCCGACACCAGAAAGTGACCGGATACCCGAGAGGCAACCAAGCGTGGGCTGAGCAGTCCGCTGTCAAGGACACGACAACAGGAGAGGCGCCGATTCAGAGGGTGGAGGGTTAAAACAACATGGCGCGTCGCGCTACATTCCTCCCCCTTCTAACAGGCGCTATCATCAGCGCCTGCGACTCTCTTAGCTGGCTTCAGTCTGTTGAAGTGTACAACCATTAAGGAACCAGGATCGCCCGGCCTCATGATTCGATAAGTTATATCTGACAAACTTCTTCCACAATGAACGGTTCTTACCAGTTTCGACGGAGCTTCGCAGGGACGCCCGGTGGTGTTATTGTTGCTTTGAGCCAGACCGTATCACCAGGCTTGAACGGACTCCCGAAAGCCTTCCGGTTAAAATAAGCCTTCTGGTGACGCTGCAAGGTATGCAGGTGCGCTTGTGCCATCTGGTGTGTTCGCAGTAGACTTGACTGTAACCGAAGTAAATGCTCCGAAGCGGTTAGCTTCATGGTATGACGTCGGCAGCAGAGTATCCGAGGGCAGACGCAGTTCACGACCCGTCATCATGAAATGTGGTGTCTGACCAATCGAAGAGTGGCCAGACGCTAGAAAAGCCATGTCCCATTCCCGAGGAATCTCGGTAGTCAGGAAAGCCTGTCATAGCGTCTTCAGCGTATGGTTCTTGCGTTCAACTAGTCCGTTTCCATCCGGATGACAAGCAGCCGTACGTGTCCTCCAGATGCCGAAAATGTGACATATCTCGACCATGAGTGTGCTCTGGAAGTTCCATACGCGGTATGAGTGTAAGTGATAGGGTGATCTCCACCTTGCCACCCAATTTCCGAATACAGTTACTGACAAACTCCATGCGTGGAAAGGCGGGACGGATCGCTGTATGAGTACAACCCAATCCACCACGACACGCGTCTCTACGAGGAACGGATAATTTGCATTCGTTATCAGGCTATCCAATCGGAGCAGTGTGCTGAACCGCAAACCTGTGTGCATCGGGCGGGAATTTCTCTGCTCTGATAACTGGTAGCCCATAAGTAAATGATGGCATTCATAGTTGTGGACAGACAAGCCAAAAGTTGCGGTTCGGACATTGGTTAAATTTGCCAGATAACTTTAGGCACACGGTAAGCTTACTTTCTTATGTGGATTACTTTTTCAACGATGGAACGCGAGGATACAGTCACTTCAGTGAATGGTATGCAACCCCAGTTACGTCAGGTCGATGATGATCAGCGCGTGGTGATTCTTCGATTATATTGGTAATGCGGGCTTAATGCAGCCGAGACAGCGAGAAGGTACAATAGCATAACCTCGGGAATGCGGCCTGTCAACGGACGGTATGTGTTAAAACTGGTGAAGAAGTTCGAGAACACTGGTAGTGTGAGCAACGCCCGAATTATGGGGCGGTTTCACACCCCAACGGATGAGAGTTCAGCTAGTGCTATTATCCGCGAAGTGTCAGAAAGGGCGGATCTCAGCATTCGTACAACTGCTCAAAATTGTGACACCACCCCTTACACAGTGCAGCGGATTTTGAAGGAAAGAAAATTTCGTCGGTATGGTGCACGTCAATTGCAAATGTTGAACCCATGCGATCCGGAGAAGCGGCTTGCATTTTGCAGCTGGTTCTTGAATCACGTGGATATTCACTCCATTATTTTCACCGACGAGGCAATATTCCAATTGCACGGAATACATAAGCATCACTTTTGGGCGACATCAAGTCCACGACGCTGCGTAGCTTCCCGTATGCAACATAGTTCCAAGGTAATGGTTTGGGCTGGACTAACTGGTCAAAAATTGTCGGAATATTATTTTCCAGTAACGTGACCGGTAAGTTACTTTCTTAACGTACTAATGTCATACCTTTCTTAGCATCTTCCCATAAAAATGCTACAGACCTGCGTAATTCCGCAGCTGCAGGCTGATGATGTTTCCAGCACCATTTGGTGGCAACATGATGGAGCACCGGCCCATTATGCACAAAAAGCGCGTGATTATCCTAACGAAATGTTCGGTCAACGGTGGATTGGTCGCTCTGGTCCTATGCAATGCCCTCCCCGATCACCAGATTTGAACTCTAGATTTTTTTCCTATGGGGTTATTTGAGACGGAGAGTATACAAGACAACGCCAGTTTCACTGGAACAACTGAAGGACCGGATTGTCAACGAATGTCGTGCCATCAACAGAGAAGCTTTGCAAAAGGTTCTGGCCAATTGCCTCGGGCGATTTCTGCAATGCAAGCAGAACGCCGGCGGGCACTTTGAGCATCTTCTTCGTTGACTAAATAGTGCACGGGTAAATGGAGTCATAGGAGCGTCGTGCCGGTATGAATTCAACGAGCAAAGCTGATTCGACAGAGGTTAGACTGATCACCTCTACCCAACTTGGTTCGCAATGCCAGCACTTGCCTTTTATGGTTACGCCTAAGGAATACGGGGGGATAAGTACGAGATAGTTATCTAAGAATAGCGTACGCGGTTTCGCATTTTCATCGTGTTTATCGGCGTATAGACTCTGGCGTGGGATAAGTGCTTCTAAACAATAACATACCGGTCACAGAAAGTGGAAAGGAAGATGGCTCCTAGCGTTGTGACCAAGTGTTGGATTGTTCACCCACTAATAGGGAACGTGAGCTGCGTTTTGATCGTCGTGAGACAGATTGGTTTTATCGTAATAATGAAAACAGTGACACACCGAAGTAAAAACTGGATGTCGCTATGTTAATCATGATTAGTACGAGAGGAACCGCAGGTCCAGACATTTGGTATATGTACCTGGTAGAAAAGCTAATGGTGCAAAGCTACCATCTGAGGGATTAGGACTCAAAGCCTCTAAGAGTGATTTCAATGCACCTGAAGTAGTGGCCGGACCTCATGTGTGCAAGGGGCTGCAGTTTTCGCCGCTGAGCTTGTTCACTTAGCACTAGATGTACCTTTGTATCAGTATGTAGATCAACAAAACGCTGCTTGTTTGTGATTTCTGCTTATGCTCCCACCGACTGCAGTTCTAATGCAGTCAAGGACACTTTCTATCACGAACTGAACACGCTGCTACGCAGTGCTACTAGTTCAGATATTATAGTACTTGCAGGGGATATGAACGCACAAGTAGGGCGTCTGAGCTCTTCAGAAGCTCAGCTGGGTGGTAAGTATGGACTTAACGCCGAACGGACTGACAACGGCGAGCGTCTGCTGCAACTGTGTGCGGAGCACCAGTTGTTTCTTACTAGCACTGCTTTTAGACACAGTGGGCGCAGAAGTGCCACTTGGCGTCCACCTGTAGCTGGTCAGCGATGGACCGAAATTGACCACATAGCCATAAGTTACAGGTGGCGTGGTTCCATTCTGGATTGCCGCTCGTACTGGAGTACCTGTGTCGACTCTGACCATGCCTTGGTGCGCTGTCGTTTCTCCATGAACTTTACCGGAAGGCGCACAAAGCGTCTCCCCCGATTGGCAACGGAGAAATTGTCCCAGCCCTCTGTCAGGCAAGCCTATCAAGAAGCACTGCATAGCGAACTCTCGCTGTCTTGTCCTAATGATACTGAACTTCAGTGGAATAGGATCTCGGCCACTATGCACGACGCAGGAGCATCTGCTTGTGGCACTATCAGTCGTCATCGCACCAGTCACTGGATATCCGAGAGGTCCGTGAACCTTTTGGAAGCTAGAAGGCACCTCCCGGCTGGTTCTGAACACAATGTGACCAGACGGGCTATTAGGCGTGAACTAAAGCGGAGCCTACGTGCTGACAAGGAAGCCTGGTGGACCAGTCGGGCTCAAGAAATGAAGGAGGCAGGAGCAGTAGGCAATTACCGGAAGCTCTTCCAGCTAATCCGCACCACTGGTCCGAGAAAACCAGGCGTCAGTGAGACAATCAGGGACAGCGCGGGTGCGCTGATACACAATAAGGAGCGCCGTATGGCTCGTTGGGCTGAGCACTTTGAACATCAGTTCAGCTGGCCCCCTGCTCCCGGACCTCTTCCTACTCAGGTGATGCAGGACGAGCCATGGACGGTTAGTTTAGAGCCTCCGTCGGAGGCCGAGGTCCGAAACGCGATCACAGCCCTCAATCGTTTTCGTGCCGCTGGCCCGGATTCCCTACCACCTGCACTATTTAAAGATGGAGGTGAGGTCTACTGCAAAGCACTGACCTCCCTATTCGAACGTATCTGGAACGAAGAGAGTGTGCCGGCTAATTGGAGCGAATCGATTGTAGTGGCAATATACAAGAAGGGCAGTCGCACAGACTCTGCGAACCACAGGGGTATTAGCCTAACGCCAGTTGTGACAAAATTACTGGCCTCGATTATCGTTCGTCGCCTCACTGCAGAACGGGAATCTCGGATTAGAGAAGAGCAGGCCGGTTTTCGCCCAGGACGTGGCTGTACAGACCATATATTTACTTTGCGGCAGGTGCTAGAGCAGCGCCACGCATACCGCAGACCGACAATAGCTGTGTTCCTCGATTTCAAGAGTGCGTTCGATTCAGTCGATCGATCGATTCTGTTCGAAATACTTGCGCGGAAAGGTGTTCCCACGAAATATGTGAACATCCTTCGCGAGAGGGTGGATCCGAAGGGACAGCCCACGGAGCAGGGCGATCACTGGCCGGCGAAGAATCGAACAATTCTAGCCGATTAAATTGCTTTTCAAAATGCTCAGCCAAACGCTCCAAGCGTTTTGACAAATTGTGGATAGGCTGTCCACTCTCGTCACGTATAGTTTCACTAACACCAGGTCTCGTGTTGCCCGTTTCCTATGACGGAATAACTTACGATGGTTGCCAAGTGCAGCGGCCACTTCCATCTCTGACGCATGGTGTGACCACCAAGATTCGCGGTCTCTTTTCAGGCTAGCACGAAGTCTTGCTCGGAGCTCTTTGTGAGT